GTAAAGGAATTATGAAAGATTTGAAAGTTGAATTAGGAAAGTAAAAAAAAAATGAAAAATAAAGGTTAGAAAAAGTTTAGAAAATGAAAAATAAATGCTATTCGTGTTTTTTCATTTATCTCTAATATTTTTTTTAGATTCATTATTCTTTTAAAGAAGTATTTAATGCTGGAGCCTCTCAAAAGGAACTATTTGATCGAATCTGTCTTCCTCTTGTTGAAGATGTTTTAAATGGTGGTAATGGTATGTTCATTTTTTAATATTAAAAGGGGATGGGGGAATATATATGCATTAGAACTTTTTTTTTAATTCTATATATCTTATTAGGTTTGGTATTTACTTATGGAATCACTTCATCTGGAAAAACATATACAATGACTGGATCCCCACAAGATGGTGGATTGCTTCCTAGGAGCTTGGATGTATTTTTTAATAGCATTAAAGACTGCCAAGCAGCAAAATTTGTAAGAAGTTAATTTTCTCTCATTAATTTTCCTTTCTCTTTAAATGATTGATATGAAAAATATAGAATACAGAAATAAAACTTCTGTTGGATGTCTCCTCTTAACTTTAAAGAATGGGACCCAGATTTAATATATTTTTCCGATTAAAAAAAATTTCAGCATATTTATTATATTTTAGCTTCTATGTCCTATTGAGAGGAGTATATTTTATCACACTACTCAATTTTATTTGAGTTGACCCATTTTTGCTAGTATAAAGTGTGCTTTGTATTTTTTTTCCAATGCTGTAATGCTAAATAAGCTTTCTCTTTACATGTTAAATGAAACACTTAACTATTTATGTAATATTTTGTAATTTTTTTAAAAAAACCTATATTGTAAACAAATGTATGAATTGTGTGTGCAATGTAGCAAATTTTCATGAAAGTTGAGCCATTTTTCTGTCTGAAAATGTGCTTTGCATTTAGTGCAGGTTCTCATACATTTGGCAAAAACAGCCTTGAGTTTAGAAACAGGGGCGTAGCTACCACAGTATCAGCTGTAATCAATGATGCAGCTACCACAGTATCATCTGTATAAATGATACAGTTACCGCCAAGCTACAGGGGTGTAAGCAGAAAAACATACAAAATGTGTAAGCAAAAAATCACAATGTTTAGGGTCTCCAAGAAAAGAACCTTCAAGGAATTTTGACACTGGGCCCACTAAAGACTAGCTATGCCAGTGTTAGAAACCCTTAATTTTATATTGAATTAAATTAATGAAATCTGTTTTACTAAAAGATTGCATCTCATTTCAGTCAATTCATTGTTTTAGCATCTATAGCAAAAACAAAAATTCAGTGCAAGATAATTCTGAGTTTTTTAAATAACTTTAAAATACTATATAAATTTTAATAAAATTAATGCTTACTTGCATACATTTCCCATGAATATTATAATAATTTATTTCCAATTAATATGAGTTATTTCTTTAATTTTGAAATGTTTGATAGTTCATTTGTAGCTTGATCAGTTAAAACTTTTTTTTATTCATTATTACTTTTAAATGTAAAGGGGCTTTTCCTGCATATTGTTCTCAAATAAACAGCCATTAAATCATACTGCATACCTTAATATCAACTAATCAAAGTACAACAAAGTAATAATGGTTGAATTCCTAGACCATCTATGAGTGCCAGGAAAAATTTAGATGCAATTTTTAAGAGTTACTGAGTACTGGAATTTTGAAGAGTCTGCATCCTGTGAATGTCAGAGTTTAATGAGATGTGAATGGCAAAAGATAGGCAAGTATCTTTTCTCCAGTTTGTAAGATATGGCTATGGTAGCCTAGTGGTCCAGGTAACGGACTCGTGGCCAATGTGTTATGATTTCAAGCCTAGCATGTGAGGAAGTGATGCACATTAAATCTGGAGAGGCTCAAACATTCTCTCGTTAGGGTGGTGTTAAAGTTAGGAAAAGAGGTACCAGTTCAGGTGTCATCCTTATCGCTTGACCATGGCTCAAAATTTCAAGGTCCGTTGCCAAAAGCTCTCTAGTAGCTGAGTAATGTGACGTTAATGTTCACTCACTCACCCAAACTGTAAGACTACTACTTTAAAATGAGATTTAATAAAGTTTGAAAGGTAAATGCAATATATTATATTATATTGGTCACTTATAGCCTTACTCTTCCTGTACTGTACAATAATCTCACTAAATTTAATATAAAGTCAAGAAAAATAAATGTTTAAAACATAAGTTCTTTTATATATTTTAAAAGTTTCCCCAGTTTTTTAATTCATTGTTGTTTTCCTGTTATAAAAAAGGGAAAAAATTAAGTAGATTTTTGAAACAATGGATCAATTAAAGGAAATTTAATGAGTTTAAATGGAGTTTTCTTTTAAATTAAAAAAGAGCTATGTTTCAGAAATTATGATGTAAAAAGTAAATCCAAAAAGAAAAGAAAAATGCTGTAAGAGCATTAGTTAAATACATGTATTTATATAAGTCTAACTATATTGCTTAAATTTGTTTTAAAAATGTCTTGAACAAAAATCTTAATCATCACTTTTTTCTACCATTTATAAAAGTGATGTATTAAATCCAAAGGGCTATCACATTCCTTTTTAAAAAGTTATTTATAAAAACCCTATAAAGGAAATATTTGTTTCATTAATATGTACTGTTTGACATTTCATTTTAGGTATTTAAACCAGATAAATTGAATGCATTTGAAAGTCAGAGTATTTCTGATGCAAAACTTGATCAACAAAGAGAGATGCGCATGTTTAACAAAAATATAATGAAAACTCCTCGAAGGTTTTTATTAATCAGCTTTTTTTTTTTTTTTTTTTTCGAAAAAAAATGCAATATGTTTTAAATGTTATATCCAAATTTCTTAATTCTTGTTTACATTCTATTATTATTATTGCATTGATCTGCTTTATTATCCAGATTCAACTCTTAAATTAATTTATTGAGGAGGCGTATAATTTTTAACTGCTTCCAACACTGAAGAAAAAAATTAGTTTTTCTATACCAATCCATTATTTTTCCCCATTTTTACAGCCTCTTGAAACAGGAAGAGTATTTGAAATAGTGTTAAATTCCTTAAAATATTTCATTTGTGTATATATTTCAGAAAGTACATTGTTTAATTATTCTAAGTTTCTTTAATCTTCCCTTAGAAATAATTTTTAAAAAAATTTAAACTCGTATCATTGTGTTAATTTTTTGCAATGTGTACTGATCAAAATTATTTTACTTCATAAGAAAATAAATGAAAAATTATACAATTTTCACTAATTTTATTTTCATTTATTTATCAGCTGTAAAACATTTTAGTACTATGATAATTCTATACTTTTCAATATAAAGTAATATTTTGAAATATTATAAGTGTTTTATAGGATTTACTTAATTCTCATATAACCAAGTGTTGTAGAGTAAATAACAAATGTATAAAAAATTTTAAAATTTACAAACTTTTTTAGTTTTATATATATATTTTCTGAATTATACGATTTCCTAGTCAGATTTCTTTATTAGATTATAATTACTCAATTTGAAAATTATATCTGTAATCTTGCAGAAAAATTTTACACTAATGCAATAAAGGATATTTATATATTGTTTTAATAGCTAGACATCCAAGTTTTACTTGATATGTAATGAATGTAATTATTTTTATCTTTCCTCTAAGCTAATTTCCTTTTAAACTAGTCCTTGGTTTATAAATAAGGCAATATTGAACATATTGCATCTTTAACTAATTATGAATTTTTTTGAAATATTGGCAACTAAATTGTATTGTATTATTTTCATTTAAAACTGAATTCATGATACAGAATTTCATTTTCAAAAATTATTTTTTAGAGAAAAATCAATAGAAAGATTTCCTGATAATAATGTCATTTCTCAACTTCCTCCTGATGTAAATTTTGCTATATTCATTTCCTATGTTGAAATATACAATAACTACATTTATGATCTTCTGGAAGAATTGTCTACTGATGCAAAAAAGAAAACGTATGTAATTTTATTTTTATTATATGCAGAAATCCTACTTTATAGTTATGCATAATGATGCACAATCACTAATTTTATTAATATTTTTTCAAAAATTCTTTGAAACATTTACTTTTGTTTCTGGCTTTAGGAATTTCAATTCCAAAATGTTACGTGAAGATGCAGCACACAATATGTATGTATTTGGAGTGACAGAAAATGAAGTAAAAACTGTGGAGGAAGCTTTGGATCTATTTTATAAGGGTCAAATGCGGCGAAGGGTATCCAATACAGCTCTTAATACAGAATCTAGTCGTAGTCATAGTATTTTTACTATACGAGTTGTTCAAGCTCCACTCGATCCACAAGGAGCTGAAATTTTATTAGTAAGTTCAAATTATATTGCTTGTAAAAAAAATTATTTTACAATATGTAAAAATTGGATAAAAATGTATAGCATACTTAAATAAGGTATTACAAAGATTACTTTTCAGTCCTAGAAATTAAAAGCTGATTGTATTATTGCTTTAATTGAACCTTTTTATGCATATTTAGGAGTGTAAATAGTTTTTCTATGTTTTTAAATTTGGCTTATATGCTTAAAATTTTTGTGAATATACCTTCTTTGAATACAATTCTTAAATGTATTTGGGGTTTTAAACACTCTTGAGTTTTGGAGTGAAATGCTGTGTGAAAGTATTCTAGAAATGAAAGCTTTAGTGAATGGGAAAGTATGCTCAAAAGTTTCAAGGGAATCCATAATTTTTATTGAATGAAAATTTTTCAATTTATAAATATAATTCTTATGTAATTTATTCAATTCCTCTCCCTATATATATTTATATATATATATATATATAACTTGAAATTTTCAACTGTTAATAAAATACTTTTAATTTTTTTTTGAACTTGTAGTGGATGAAACTTGATGTTAATACAGTATTTTTCAAATGTTTTCATTAATTTTTTTTAATTAATGAATAAATAGTAACAAACAAAAATAATAGTCCAACACCATATATAAAAAGGAAAATCACTCATTGTGTCCCTGTAGTACAATGGATAGTGCGTTGGACTTCTAATCCAAAGGTCGTAGAATCAAATCCCACCTAATAGCCTAATTTCTGATAATGTGATTTCTTTTTACTGTACTATTTTATTGGAATATTAAATTTTAATTAATGAATAAATAGCAACAAACAAAAATAAGTCTAACACCATATATAGAAAGGAAAATCATTTTCTATTTTGCCACTTAATATTGTGATTCTGTCATATGTATAAACATATTTATATTAATTGCAATTATTTATTAAAAAGTAACTAAAATAAGTTTTTTCTTTGTAGACCTAAGTAGGAATTGACTTTTATCTCACCTTGTTCACTTCTACTTAAAACAAAAAATTTAACTTTAAATTTTTCTAAAAATATTCATGAAAAATAATAATTAAACTCTTATTGAAAGCATTACAAATTAAGTATATTTGCTACAGTTTTTTTATGTGATGATTTATTCTATGACACATCTTAATATTAACCTTTAATTTCAGAATAAGGAGTTTATAACTATCAGTCAGTTATCACTAGTTGATCTAGCTGGTAGTGAGCGCTGTGTGCGAACTAAAAGTACTGGCCAAAAACTACGTGAAGCAGGTAAATCTTGTTGTTTTTATTAATGAACAATAAATGAAAACTTAAGTTTGCTAAAATAAATTAAAAGGAATAAAACAGATTATGCTCTATTAATACTATCAAATAAACTTTAAAATATGAAAGAACATGGCTCACCTTATTGAATTATATAACAAAAGTATTGAAATGACTATTTGAAAATGAAACTGCAGGAGACATTTTTAAGCTTTTATAAATAATTATTTGATTATAAATAAGTTTTTTAAAATAGGAAGTGTTAATTTTTGGAGGGGAGGTACGAATGACATGAATATTTTTGGAGGACAATTTGAAACTGTATCATTTTCTACTCATAAAGAGTACTGTATCACAAACTATAGTAAAATAAAGTCATTTCATTAGTACTTGCATATTATCTTAACCACATTGGTGACATTATATGAAACAAAGCACATGGTCGCCAATTCAGTGCGTATAAGACATGCAAAATCGGGGTTGCCAACCTTACAAGTTATCTTGAACTTTGGCATTATTGTGATAGTATGCAAGTAACATTTCATCAAATACCTTTTAAAAAATCTTTTAAATGAAAAGTTTTCTGACTTTATAGTGAGCGATATAGTGTCCTCAATTTTCAGAGCATTAAATGGAGTTTTGAGTTATTTTTCAACAAACTCAAACTTTTCTTTTAGGTAATATAAATGCTTCACTCATGACACTAAGAAATTGTATTGAATGTGTGCGAGAATCTCAGACATTGGGAATTAATAAGGTAAGTTGAATTAAAAATTATATTGATACTTTCTGTACTTTTCTCTAAATTTTCCTTGTCATTTTTTTTTTAATTTAAGAAAGTTATGAGTTAATTTATATAAGTATTGTATACAATAGTACATTACTTTAAGTAGGAAATGTCTTTTAATATTTAGAAATATAAAAGCATCCCAAAAAAATGTTAGCAATAAATTCCTTGTACATAAGTATAAGAATTCATTAAATTTAAATCAAACAAGCATAGAAGGGTCAATTCATAACATTTATTTGTATTAGTTCATGAAAATTTTACGATACAAGGCATGTTGTCTCGGAGAACTTTGCTCCTTTGGAAATAAAATTTACAATAATTTTTTACTTTATATGGTAAAACCTCTTTTTGTAGTTCAGAAGATTGTTTATATTTTATGGAAACCTATTTAATAATTCTAAAATATTTCCATAATGTGCAGGTGATCTTTTGCATTAAATTATACAATTTAAAAGACAAATGAGGTAAATTTGCTTTACATAACCTACTTTCGAGGGTCACGTATGTTATAGGTTTAAACTTGCATTTGAATTGTTGTTTTGTGTATGTTAACTATAACTCATTAATTGCAAGAATGTTATTACATCAGTCTACTTTTTTACCATTGTTTAACTTCTCATTCTGATTAAATTTATAAATTAGATATTTATGGTATCATCAACTGATTGATAATCAAAATACTTTACAATTGAGTACTTTGCAAATCTTTTATTTCATTGCTTATACATTTAAGTAATTATTAATTTTCCTTTATTAAATACAAAAATAATGAAGCTTTTTACATTGAATTAAATGCTCTCCTTCCAAGCCGAAATTTCTCCCGCTCTAAAATTTTCACTCAGTTCACAATCACTCCTCCAATGAGTAGCAGCTCCTTGCTTAGCCGGGCATGAATTCTCACAAAGCGACATAAAAACTGTCTCTTCACTGACTCACAGCACTCCCCAACCTCCATTAAAGTTCAAGTTAAAAATAAAATCTTAAGAATTATCACAAATGCACCCTGGTATATTAAAAACAGTGTATTGCACCATGACTTAAATATAGAACCTATTGGGGCTTACATCACTAAGCACTCTAGAAACATTTTTAGATCAACAGAAATTTACCTAAATCCTTTAGAGTGCAAACATTGTTTACAAACCCCAATAGAAATAATGCATATAAGACGAAGTGGGGTCCCTGCCTCTTAAACCCTAGCAGTTGGCTTGTCCACCCCACCCCCTTCCTCCTCCTCTAGCAAAAACAAAAGTTTAATATTTTGCCCTCAAGACTTGTAGCCACACTATTTTAATTCATGCTTCTATTTTCCTTGATTTCAACTTCAGCTCCCGCCCGCTGACCTCGCTCATCTAGGATTTTAGTCGAATGGACCCACTTTTCTATCACCATTCTTGGCCCTGCCTTTGGATGCTTCTGACTGGTTCAGTACCTTTTTCTGCCTCCCCAACCTACCCCTTATAAGTGAATTTTCTTGTTACTGATCATTCAGTCTCATCTGTTAGCTTGAGCAGAAGTACATTAGCTTGCTGTTGCTCACTATTAATCTAATTTCTTATTTGTCTTGCAGCATTAGAAGAGACAGTGGGCAAAGTGCCAGCAGTTCTTCTGGTGACAGAACTATAATTTTGCTTGCACTGTAAACTATTAAAAATAAAAAAAAATCTTAACATCGCATAATTAACAACAAAGACAATAGTCACAACTCTAGCAATTTAAATTCACTACCCATAATTTTTTTCTGCAAAAAAAAAGGCAATCCTTTTAATTTTAATGTTTTTAAATTTTTAACACCTTACTCTACCTAAAGACAATGTGTATCTTAAAATTCAATCCTCTATTAACAATTACAGCAAATGAAGATCTAAACAGGAGTCATGGGTTCCCTATTAGCTGTCAACACTTCATTGAATTGAATGTCTTATTAAAAGAACTATTCGGTTCAATTTTATATAGAATATTCATTTCTGTACCTTTCATTAATTCTGTATTTCACATTATTCAGATTTCTTTTAGAAAATTTTAAGCAAATGCTGTATTTTTTCTTTCAAGAAAAAGATATTAAATAGTTTCATATAAGTTTGGCATAGTTTGAATAATCATCTCTCTTTAATATTGTACAGAATGTTTCATTCAAATTCGAGGGGCTTTTTTTAAAAAATTGCAATTTTTCTTTTTTGTTTGCTGCTTTATCTTATTGTTTAACAAATTGAATAAAAAAACCTGTGTATTGTTTTTCAGGACACAACTTTGTTTAATGTATTCTAAAGTAAATTTTACAAAATTTGGAAAAGTTTCAATTATGCCTTTAACATTTCTGTTAAATAATGTATTTTTAAAATCATTTATTAAATATAGTTAAATAATATACAGAGGTAATAATTTTATCCCCTTTCATAGAAAGTTCCTTATCGAGAAAGCAAGCTTACTCATTTATTCAAATCATTTTTCGGAGGAAAAGGGAAAGTTAGAATGATTGTGTGTGTAAATCCACAAGCAGGATATTTTGATGAGACAGTGGTAAGTGATTTATAAAAGATTGGAATTCTACCCTTTTGTATTTGAATATATGAAAATAGTTTTTCTGCTATATTTCTTAGCTGTATATACTCCTGATGATCCTTTCAAAAAACTATAGAATGTGTGGTGGTTTAAAATATTGCTATGGGTGAAGTGAACTACATTTTTGTATGTTGGGTAAATAACTTATTGAAATAACCCTATAGCCAAAGATGTGAACTATATTACAATTCAATGATAAACTATTTTACCATCCAGTATAGTGGTTAGTGATGCTAACTGATGTGCCTCGTAGGGGATGGATTTGAATTCCAGAAAATACATGAATTTTTGTATAGTGTATGTAAATGTATAGTGCCTGTTTCGGCATGGGGTTACTCTAAATAACCGTCGAACCACAAGTTTTCTCATGAGGTTTAAGGGGAAAAGAGGTGGGAGGCCCCTGATCACCTCCTGGGTGTTCTCCCTCAAAATTGGGGTGGAACCAATTCAAATCATATTCTCATCTGAATAGTTCTCAAAACTACGGATAACAACAGACTTAACAAACTAGCCCTTTGTGGGCCTTGATCTAACGCCGCCAGACATGTAGCGTTAACAACAGCAGCACCACCATTAAGGAAGGATGAAAATTGTGGGTTTGAAACTCTACTTTTATCAAAAACCATGTGTGGGATAACAAGAACTGCTACACGATTAAATTGGACTAGGCAGTTTGAAAAATGATGAATCAATTGGGGTGTCATTATTTCATCTGGATAGTTTAAAATTATGAGAACTGTCACTTTTACAGCTCATTTTTGCACTGTTTGTAAAACATTCAGCATAGCCAAAATTAGATTTATTTTTTTCAAATCATTAAATTAAATTAATTACTTTTAAAAAAATCAGTTTTACATTCTTTTTGTATAGGAGAAATATTTAAATATCATGAAAATGTGATTATGAATCAAATTGATTTCTAATGGAATCAATTGATAGGAAAAGATTCAACTTCATCTTATAGTAATTAAATATTAATCATTTTCTTCTAATCTTCTTTCAACAATGCCAGATAGCATGTATGTTTGAAAAAATCATTTATAATCTTAATTGTATTTACTGCAACATTAAATTATAATTTTAAGATTTTGATAACATTACAATTGGATTTTGTAAAT